AGACGCAGTCTGGCCTGTTCCATCCACAGTGAAGGCAAAACTGTATGGGACACGAGAAGATCTGGACTGCACGAACGCTTTTATAAAGAAAAAGGCTACCGGTCTACTGATAACAGTTTTCTGACGGAAAGATTGAACAAGAAGAAAAAAGTGTACAGTCTAAAAGGTCTATCAGAAGGTGAACTGCTGATAGGCTTTTCTGGATCCTTTTCCGCACCGTGCCTCCCCCCCCCCCCCCCCCCCCCTCCTCTCCCATTTTTCCAAAGAAGCTATAACAGGAAAACAAGCCCTAGACACTAGTAATATAAGCCCTACCTCAAATAGAAGCCCTAGTTTTGCTGGTCAGCCAAACGGACGTTATTTCCTTCGTCTGTGAAACGCAAGGCGGATGTGCTGAATTATAAAGTAATGAATGTACCTCTTATCAATACTTGAATAAATTAAGAACTGTAAACTTTAATTAATAAATACTCATTACTTGAATAATCTTAGATTCTTTTACGTAAAACAAAATTAGACTTTTCCTCCATATAAGCCCTACTGAATGCATCTTTCGGAGCAAATGTAATCATATTAGTTAGTCTTTTCTCTTGAGCCTAGGTCGGTGCATAGGGCAGAGGTCGTAGCTCTCTCGGTCTGGCGGTTCGTTGCCACCTGTTTTAGGTACTGGATGTTCATTATGCCGATGGTGTAATATACGGTCTAGTTTTATTTTTGGGAACACAGGGTAGATTACATCAGAGTGTTATGCAACCGTTGTGTGTTTCCCAATGAAACTTCTTTAGAGCTTGACAGGTGTGTCTGGAAATCGCCCTGTGTGTATCACCATCCTGACTGAGATTTGGATTTGGTTATCTCAGGGTGGTGAAACGTTGAGGCAGCAGCACAGGAGGGGGGGGGGGGGAGAGAGAGGGGGCGGAACGTTGCTGATAACTTGCACGGCTTTCCAGCTTACACGAGCAGCATTATCAGGTAATGTATGTCTTTTGTCTCGATTATTCTAGAATCTAAGTGGCCAAATCATGCAGAGAAACGTTTGTATTGGGTGTCTACCCTTGTGTGGCTCTCTTCTTCCATCAGATGCGTTGTCAACAAGTTTCAACGTCTCTCTCTCTCTCTCTCTCTCTCTCTCTCTCTCTCTCTCTCTCTCTCTCTCTCTCTCTCTCTCTCTCTCTCTCTCCCCAAACATACTCAAATAATTGTACTGTCAACGCCCAAGTTTTCTGATCAGTTTTCATAACGTATTTTGACTTTTCTTTCGTTGTTACTTCTTCCTAATTCTGTGCTACAATGAAGGGTGGCTATACCAACACCTTTTCAAGATGGGAAGATCGTTGGCTGTACTATTGTCTTTGAGAACTTTACGTGAGGCCCTGCGCTGTGCGATTCTCGTACCATTGTTCGAAAGAACCTGAATTTGTTAGCCGCATTCACTAATCTTTCAGCCACAAAACCACACTAACTTGTTCTTTATCAGAAACTATTTCCCCACTGCTACTAGATGTTGCTCAACTCACAGCAGTATAGGCTCTACGTTGCATTTGTTCTCTCTATCTTGTGAAAAACCACCATGCCTTATCGATTCTTGTTCTAATATCTATTCATCTCCCACGGATGGTATGGCTGCTCCAAGACAGTTATAACAAGACAAATTAGAAGATGGATTTATAACATTAAATATATTGTACTAGCACTCAGAATGACAGTTGCCAGTCCACCCATCGAAAGCTGGGCCACAGACTGTTTCTCCTGCCAACACTTACCAGAGCAGTTTTGATGATGATGATGAAGATGACGATTACGACTATGATAAGCCCGGAGATAGACAGGAAGATGAAGCTGTCTGACAGTCTTCTTACACATGGAAAATGTCTCTACACTAAACGGTGATGTTTTCACAGAGACGGAAACTATCTTCGTGAAAAACGGAAGCAGCCTTCACTAAGCCTAAATTTGCCCCACACAATAAAACCAACTGATTTAATATCGGCCAGGTCTCAGTAAACACACGGTCAGGGCCGCCGGAACCTAAGCACCTTGAGTCCCCCTTCCCAACCCCACTGTGCACCTTGAGTCCCCCTTCCCAACCCCACTGTGCACCTTGAGTCCCCCTTCCCAACCCCACTGCGCACCTTGAGTCCCCCTTCCCAACCCCACTGCGCACCTTGAGTCCCCCTTCCCAACCCCACTGTGCACCTTGAGTCCCCCTTCCCAACCCCACTGTGCACCTCGAGTCCCCCTTCCCAACCCCACTGTGCACTTTGAGTCCCCTTCCCGATTGTTAGCGATGCAGTGGGTCAATTTTTTCCCCTCTACAATTGGGCTCTGGAATCCACAGAGGGATATTATTTCAGGTAGGCCAATTATATTTTTGCTATTCAGCAAAATTGTGTTATTATTTTGATTATTGCTATTAAGCACTCACTTAAGACAGGCTTTTTCAACCAACCCGGAACCTAGAAAATGTGTAAGTGCTGAGTACCCAATCCTCATGTTTTCT